CAAAGTGCCATAAATCTTCCCTACCATACCAAAATTTTTCTTTAGTGCAATGTTGAACAATTGAATAAATTGCTTGCATAATTCTCACACAAAAATTCTTCAGAACAACATAAATGGATCTCATTTAAGAGCCAAAAGTTTCCTAATTCTAAAAGAAAGATGAACTAATACAATGATCGTCAATTTTATAGAAAACATGGCTAATACCGTTTCCAAATTCAATATAAGTACCCAAAAAAAAAAAATATATTAGAACTTATTCACATTTAAGAAAATAAAGATTTCAGCTAAATAAACGTAAAAAGAATATGGAGATAGAAAGAAAGAAAGAAAGACTTGCCATTTAAAGCAAAGTGACGCTGAATAATCCTCCGAACTCTGAGACTCTCCTCCAAAAATTCTCGTCTGAAAAACCTCCCCCATTTCCTCCACGAAAGCCCAAGTTAACGATGCTATCCTCGGAGCATCTGCCAAAGCAGCGTCGTCATCCCGAGCACCTAAGCTCGGATTCCGAAGATCAAACTGGGTGCGTAAATCAGCAGGCGGTGACGGATCCACGGATCTCAGCGTGAGAATCAACAAACCGACGGTGAAAGTGGCGCATAAGAAGAGAAGTAAGCCGAGTGGAACTGGTTTCTTTCGCGATCCGCCATACCTCATTTTTTCTTTCTGTTTGCGTGTTGTTACTGATGTTTTGAGGGGAAAATGGAGTGTGAGTTTGTTGGTGTTGACATCGGGATGATTAGGAGATTCCTGTCGGTGGTAAAAGAGTTAACCGCACCAAAAAATAAATAAATAAATAAATATTATGCAATATGAACTATTTATGAAAATATAAGACTTTAACTATATAAAATGAGAGTAAATTCCTTAATATTGATACTTTCTTCTCCATACAATTGTTCTTGGTTTAGCATTAAGGGTAGGGAAAACAGAAATTCAGGTCTCCCTAACAAAAATTACAAAGTCGGCTTTAAAAAAACATCATAGTTTTGTTTTTTGTTTTTTTAAAAAACCAATAATACCTTTCCCTCCCTTTCTTTCGAAGTTCTTGCTAAATCCCCTTCCAACCTTCTTCAACCCATGCACTACTCATCCTCAAATCCTTTTCTCTTTATTGAAAATCATTATTCTCTTGCTTGGCACTAAGAAGCGCGGGCCCAAACTTGCTAAAAACTTTGAGCCCAATTAAATACAGTGAAAATTCAAACTCAATCGAACACAATGTTCTTTCCAATCGACCTAGGGTGAATGTGACCTAATCCTTTTCCCTCATTCTTTAGACTTTATTGGCTGTGGTTAAAGTTAGTTAATTAAGGTGTGAATTAGTTGTTTATTTGTTCTAAAATTGCTTGTTTGTTTGTTCTAGAATTGCTTGGTTTGTTTGTTTTATTTTATGGGCTTTGAGGAGTTGATGTCTAGAAAAATAATATTTCTTAGGTTATGCATGACAAGTGTTTGATCAATTGTTTGAGTGAGTTTTGTTGGTGTCTATTCTTGACATAATAGTAGCTAAGCAGCCTAAGCTGAATTTTTTTTTCTAGGGGCAATTGTAGAGCCATTTTGGTTGCTTTGAGTATACGAGATTTTGATAGAATTAGAGAAGAAATTCAAGTGAATAAGTGGAAGAGGAGTTTTTGTTTGTAATGGCAATGAGATGTACTTTGGCCATTATTTTCTTCAAATCATCATTAAATGTGACAATTGTAGTTAGTCATACATGGGTTTTCATCTGTTTTCACTTTTATAAACAATGCCTCATTTTGCTATAATTGTTCATTAATATAGATTTATGTTCTATAGTCATTAATGTTTTGGTAATTCATTTTTGCATGATTTGAAGTTTATGGTTTGTTCTATTG